TTGTAGACTGAAATTGCATTTCAATAAAGTTATAAAATTTTGAAAAATTTGCGCAGTGTTGCAAGACTTTCTTTCCAACCCAATATAAACTCCAATCCCGGAGTCCAGTTCTCAATAATTTATTTTGTCTCTTCTGATCGGAGAGTTCTTTTACGGCCAGTATTCCCCTCAATCTGGTTTTAAAATTTTCTTTATTCATGAAACTTCTTTATTAGAAAAATGGTTGAATGTGCAAGTGACGCTTCCAAGAGAAAACGCCGCTGAAATCTCTCTCAATGAGTTTCTTTGTTCTCATAAAACCACTCTGCAACGAAAAATGTAGAGTTTTGTGAGGACTCCAAAACGAAAGGGGTATGACGAAATCGGAAGAGTGCTTCATCATTTCTAAAAAGCTGGTTGGAATCAAGACATCATTCTTAAACTTTTTGGACTGCAGCATCAGCGCTTCCTTGACTGCCAAAAATGCAATTAAGCCGGCATGGTGCCCCTCAAGTTTAGTATTACACATTGGCTAGTACTGGACAATGAGGACCCACTTCGAAAGATGTCACTGGAGTCCATCCGTGAGGGTAGGCATTTACATTCCTTGAACTGGCCCTGATTCATTTTAGTAAAAAGGACCATAGCAAAGTATGTTTGCTCGATTGGAATCTGACGTGACAAAGCACGTACACATCGTGCATATCAGTTGAGGTTTCAGGCGTCTGTGTCGACCTGGCCAGCGTTGTGGTGAAATGGTGTCTACGAGTCTCGTGACTCAAGTCACATGACTTGCGGTAAGGCAAAAGTATGTCGACCTATATCACTGTACGGACGGAGCTGTACCAAATGTTTCTGCGACTGTGATTATTCTTTCCCTCTGTAAAGTCCCGTACTAGACCGTGTCAAGAGTCGCAAATGGTTTGAAGTTATTCTACATTTTCCGAATCGAATTGTGAATGTAGAGTATTTATACATTAAAGCAAATAATTTATGAAGTCTTGGAATGGGGTTGTTCATAATAAGATGTAATTACGCATTCGAGGGGCACTCAAGAAGTTCTTGCTCTTCAACAGCAAAACAATCGATATTTCAAGCTTTTTCAATGTCCTCTCTTCCATTTTTGTTGAGTTTCATCCGATTAAGCCAATTTTCAAATGCTTTTTCTCAGTTTCTTTAGGTTAAGCTGAGCAGACCCCTTTCAGTTTTCTCTCCAACTCTTGACACATAACACATTCATCCTGAAAGCCCTCCTTCAATTCGAGGAACAGAACGTTTCGCATGATGCGAAGTATTTGTGACACTCAATAAGACTTGGTGACACGATGTTATTTTCCTTTTGGGAAAAGCAGTGAACTCCAAAGCTCCTCACCTTCAACATCTTCCCTAGATTGCATATGAACCACATGTTAAAGTGTCCCTGGTACTCGGACTAAGGTGCACTTGACTGCTATGAACTCGACTGTGACTGCTGTGTGACTCCATAGCCCACCTCCTGAATATTCAAGTATTCAATACTTTTTATCCTGGCAAATCTTGGCGCATAAACAGGAAATAGCCAAATGATAAAATTTCCTTTTAGCCAACCAATTAGTACGCCAAAAGGGAAATAACCTCAATGCGTGGCTTTCTGAAACATACCTGTCGAGCAGTCAGGACTTTGTATAAGCTTCTGATTCAGAAGTAAAGAGCAAATCTTATTCTGAGCGTTAGGGATGCTTTGAAATAGTGATGCAGAACCCGCGGTTCGCGGATACCTTTTTATTGCGGCCCCTTGGATGCCTCCGGTCTCTAAAAATCCATAGTTACAAGCGATCCTACTTTGGCTCATATTGGAGAGCCGCAGGCCCTTGAACATGAGCCGAAGTCTCAATAAGGCCCTCTAGGGGAAATTTACTGTAATTAACGGCTAACCTCAAGCAGATTTGCAGAAACTGCAACTCCATGTGCAGCATTAAATTCATTTGATTTTGTCCTTGCCCTCTCAGCAGCGTAATTCCTAGTAAAGCGGGAAATTTAATTAACGACTAACCTTATGGAGACTTGCAGAAACTGTCGTAGCAGCAATGTCGAAGAACTGTCGAAAGAAATATTTCTATAAGCCTCGACGTCTCGCAGTTGCTGTCTCGGTGAATCGGGACATGCTCCAACAATTCTGACTCACCGAAATTTCCAAGAACGACATGTCGCTGAGACATGGTGAAATGTGAAAAGGGCGAAAATACCATTTTCCTCGCATTGACATTGGAAAGTATACTTATCCTTTATGTTTAAAATCCTCATTAGATAACGATGCCTCGTGGAAATTTTCGTTTTTTATTACTTACACTTTGAAATCAGCTGATTAAAAAGAGATGCAAGCGATTCTGGGATACCTTACGGAATATTTCAATAAAATGCCCTACACAAAGGCGATACCTTACTCGGGGCGCAGAGTGGAAACTTGCATTTACTGCCACGACAGCGACCGATCCGAATATTCCCTTCAACATGTGCTGAAGACAATTCCCGATTCGTTTGGCTTACGGTATGGCCATCAACAACGCTCAGGGACAAACGTTTGACATGGCTGGTCTCTTGCTGCCGGAGCCTGTTTTCTCTCATGGTCAGCTATATGTTGCGTGCTCTCGAGTCCGGTCTGCCGATTGCCTCAAAATCCAAGTGGTCGATGGGCAAATGCAAGACCCGACCGATAATGTCGTGTACAATGAAGTGTTGCAGATTTCAACTTCCAATTTTCTTCATGAATCAGTTCTGCCATCAAATTTTGTAATATTGATTTCAATTTCCAGAATTATATTTGCCGGAATTTCTTGAACTAATCTTGAAAATATTTTAGATTTTATTTTTCTCATGGATTTCGAAAATGAACAATTCTTCTCATGTCGCTTTTCGAAGTGGACATGATCTTTTCCATTCATAATTCATTCATTCATTCGTGATTTATCATCGTGACCACACATCACAAATAAAAAAATTGCCTGGGCGGCAACACTTTCGAACTTCTCGAGGTTTGCTTGAAAATGTTTAATGATTGGTATGAACTCAACTGCTTCATGCCTTTGTAAACATGTTTAAATTTCCGCCCATTAGACGGCCAGCGTAGCAGCCGCAGACCGCTAGTATTGATATATATACTAGTATTAATGTAAATATAAAATTCTCTATAATCTACATGGAATTATTGCATTCAAACTGATGTAATGAGCTTAAGTTACTGCAACTCATTTTTTAATTAGATTTATGCGCTAAGAGTGTGAGACCACAGGCAAGAATTTAATCCAATATAACAGTGCTCCTCAACATTTTCCATGTCACGGCACACTTTCGAGTTTGCTCGATCCTCGCGGCACACAAACCTAAATTTCGCAACGTCATTGTGTAGAATTCTCATTACCCACTTGTCAATGAAAGTAAGAGAATAAAATAATATTTTCCACATTGATAGAACAAATTATGACTCACGTGGTGCATTTAAAATAATTTGAATATTTCAATTAGTTTACGAAATATTTCGAACAAATTAAACTGAAGTTGATTTATGAAGGACACTTATTACATCCAGCCTATGAAGGATATATCAAACGTATTCTTTTTCAAAGCCCTGTTCTCAAATATGTCAGTAAGGAATAAAGTCCGATCAAATGATTCATTTAAAACAGTTTCCAGAAGCAATCTAGTGAGAAACTGAAGGCTGGAACTTTCATTTCACACTAGTGAGACACTTGCACCTGTCTTGAGGAACAGAGGCGTTTAATGTTCGGCTCTACGCTGAAAAGAGCTACACAAAGTTCCTCATCCAGGCTCATTTTTCACTTGCAGCCAAAATGCGTCCAGTGGCACCTCACTGAACTTGAGTTTGAGAGTGCAGTCGCTCCTGAAGTCTAGATATTCCTCTCGCGCCTTCAGAGAAAGCTCCTTGACTGATTCCTCCACGGATGAAGCGAATGGATTACGAACCCGATCATACTGCTCCGTGCTGGTCAACTTGAAGTGGTGTTTAAACTTGTCGTTAAACATGCCCAAGTGTTCAGCCACCACATTCAGCATCTTTTTTTTTAGGATGCGTGTTACTGGTCCGTTTGAACATGTCCAGGTGAACCACATCCTATTTCTCCTCTCCACAGCTGAAGTTTTGATTTGAACGCATTTAGCTTGTCCGTATATATAAGCACGTTCTCACCGCGTCCTTGCATTCTTCGATTCAATTCGTTAAGATGCTCAGAAATGACAGCCATGTACGCTAGTTTTTCCAGCCAGTAATTGTCTTGTAACAAACTAGCATACTGCGATTTATGGTGCAACGTTAGAAACTGCTCTACCTCGTCCCTAAGCTCAAATATTATTCACACGACCTTGCCTCGCGAAAGCCAGAGAACCTCTGAGTGATAAAATAGGGATTGGTGATCTGCCCCCCATCTCCTCACAAAATACGAAATAAGGCGAAGCTTAAGAGGTCTTGATTTGGTAAAGTTGACGATTTTTACAGCTTCAGCCAAAACTGACATCAGCTCATCCGGCAGGCTGTTTGCTATGAGAGCTCTGCTATGGAGAAAACTGTGTTATTTCAACATTTGCGTTTTGATTTTGCACATTCAACACGAACCCTTTGACATTTCCTGTCGTTGAACTGCTCCACCGGTATTGCTTTGTGTAGTTTTAACACTGGATCCCGTTGCTCTTCAGGTACTCATCTGTAACGCGGAATATTTCATCGCCCGTTGCACGCTGAGGAAGTCTTTTGCCGGTGAATAGAATTGAAAATAATAAAAAAGTGATTTTCTTTCCTGTCCCATAATTTCGAAAATACAGCGGAAAATACCGTACACCAGGGACTTTGTCGCGGCACACCGGTTGAGAAACACTGCAATATAAGAACACTGAACAACACACCGAATTTTCACCTCGTGATCCTTATGCTGGAAATTCGATGATGTGATTATGAGTAGTTTCTGCAACAACTTTATTTTTAATATGCGAGCGCCAAAGGCGTGATGATTGCCAAACACACTAACCAAGGGGGTTTGGCGCCAACCTTAGGGGTAAGCTTCAAAAACGAGTGGTATAAATGGTATAAATTTCTTGTGTGGTATAAATTTCTTCGGTCATATAGCGCTGAAGGAGCGTCCATTGCGAGTTTGTTGGCCCGAAGGACAAACAAACTCGCTAGTATGGATATATAATATATTTGAATGCATGTAGTCCTCCAAAAAAAAAATCAAAGCTGAGCTTTCTAAAGATAAGTCCTAGTACTTAATAAGCGTCTTCAACATTTGCGTCTTTGCATTTTGCACATGGAACTATATCATGGATTGAAGAAGTTTAGACTTCTTCAATCGAGTACTTCCTTCCTTTCATCGAGTGGAGTTCGGAGTGATCCAGACGTTCTCTGGACCCAGGTCTCACTTTCAAAAATGCCACTTCCTGAACAATTGTCAATGCCATTTTAGACGATTATGTCAATATCATCATCTCCAGGATTCGAAGAGATCGTTAAGGTTAAAGAAAGTATCTGCAGCCTAGAAATGCATTGTAAATACATTATATGTTGAAAACTGGTTATGTTGTGTTTCAAGGGATTGGCACTGTCTTGCGAACGACTGCCTCATCCGGCTCCCCTTGTGACAACAGCGACTTCTTCTCCTCCTGAAACGGAAGGAGCATTCATTTTCATCATTCTTCCATGCTTTAATCAAGGCATTTTAAGCGTGTTCTTTCGGTTTCACGCAGATGCGTCTGACATGTATTACAAGCATGACATAACTTTTTAATAGCCATAGTTTCACGATTGAGAGCAGACTCGGATGATCATCAGACTTCATTGCTCAGGGCATCCTATCTCGCTATTGGCTACCATTGTAAGCCCATTAGGATAATAAATTTAAAAAAACTTGCCGTGTTTCTAGTGTAGAGTCGTCATTAGCGTCATCTTCATCGCCATCATTATTTTCACAATTATTTTCTTCAAGAAGCTACTGTACGTCCTGAAGCTACAGTAACTCCAGATATAATAATGAAAGAGAGACACTTCAGAGCAACAACACTCACTCTGAACCATGGCCAAGTTCTCATGGGAATTGTGATGCGTGACACGACGTATGAATGGACTACATCTTTTCTTAACTCTCGGGTTTCGGAGAAAATAAAGGAGCGTCATTTTCATTGTTTTCTTCTTTTAAGAGCGAAGTCAGCGAAATTTTGTGGGGTTAAGAAGCAACTTCAAGCCACCAGCACTACTTATGTCTGGTCACAAGCTGATCTGGTAAAATAGCTAACTCCAGTTTCACCCCCCTTTCACTCTGGGAAAGGAGCGAATTTACTCCATCACCAAGGAGTAAAATTGCTCTCCTCCTCCGTGAGTAAAAAAGCTCCCACCAGAAAGTGATAAGGATGTCATGCAAATACGAAAATTCTCCTATACTGTGTGTCGCTTTTGCTCTCGTACAGGCGTTGATCTACCTCTGACTGTACTGATTACAGCACAAGTCAGAGGGTGGACCACCTCTTATAGGTTCCGTAGAGTGTCCGGAATATCAGTCCTTTATCACCTCATTTAATTGAGGTATGAGTGACTGAAGAATACGGACTCTGTATGTTTCTGGACTCTATGAATATGTCTTGAATATGTGGATAACAAATGATGAAGTGCCCTTGCTTATTGATTCCTATAATGAGACTAGGCGAGACATATGGCAAGGTACTAAACAATTAGTGGCCTGGCGAAGAACTTCAAGGTGTTCGCTTCAATACAAGCGATGAGGGAGCATTTGGTGCGTAATAAGAGAGTAAATTCGAAAAGCTCACGGTGTGCTCACTCTTTACTCCCCAAACACTCGGAATTTTCTAAGAGTGTAAGTACGTAAAAATAAATGCCATTGGAACTATATACTTACCTCCAAGCCCTTTTCAAGGCGTCTTCGTCCACGCGACCTGGTGGCAATGAAACCGTTGAGAATCAGGATGAGTACGGCATCGAGGAATAAGTGGGCTATGAATATCACAGTAGCGATGGTCATGTGTTCGTGGCTTTCTACGTTCCATGTGCTCTTCCAAGGAGGATACAGGATGAATCCAACTTGCCAGAACCAGGTCCCTTGGATGAGCCAAGCATACATGAAGGCAAGGATCGGAAGTATCTGGGATTTCTTCCAAGCGTACAGGAATGCCAGTAGTATTCCAGCTGGAATCGCGTTTACAAGTAAAGTGTGAACCTGCAAAAACAATCTTCTTATTATTCTCTGGCGTAAATCATGAGCTTCATGAAGTCTACCTAAGTGAGTAAAAGGAATATCCAGTAGATACATTTTACCCCTTGAATGCATGATGTAGCAGATATGCTACATTCCAAATGAAATACTTTTAGAATGCGTAAGTTGCGAGCGTTAGCGGTAAGTAGTTCTTAGCAGATGTGCGACATCCAGTCCTTGTACCTAGTACCCCAGCGGTCGCTAGGTGGCCTACACTTTTGGTGTGGCGTGCAAGCAATCTAAAAGCACGCGGCTTCGTCATGCGACAGATTGACGTTGATGGTAAAAATATTTTCAACTTTACGCTAATCCAGGGCTTAGGTTCAAGAGTATTTTTACATTTCCATTTGCGTTTTCATTTGTATACAAATGCTGACTGACTAAGCTCTCAAGCCTCCATGCAAACCTGGGTAAGAAAACTAGAAAAATAAAAACATTGTTTATAGCAGATGAAAAATAAAAACATTTTCGGGACTACTACATGCGAATTTGAGGAATCAATTTTTTTTTTACACTTTCCCCGCGTTCTAGGACCTTCGTAAAACTTACCAGATTTTTTCACCGAATAAGAATAAATAATTGATTAAAGAGTTAAATATGGGTCTCTCTTTCTCTCTGCCTCTATTGGCGCTAAATCAAGAATGCAAGCGTGTACTGTACAACATTGCCATTATTTGGAGTGTTTATTCTTCTGAGTCATTGCACAGGCAAAATATACGCTTTATCGCAGAATCACTCAAGTATTGCTGGTATATTCTTCCTTAGAACTCCTGAACTAAGCAGCATTATCTTCGGAAGAAGTGTATGACTACTTACTAGAACATCGAGAGGAGATCGGCCATGGAGGTGGTACGCAAATAGGATCCATTCTACAGTCAAGGCAAGTATCAGGAAGGCATCATCAGCATACGGCGGAATGGGATACCCCTTATCCATCAGTATCCCGATGAGATAACAAAGGAAGAAGCCAAAGAACATGCTCATATGCTGAGCGTTCCCCACCCACGCCCCATCAAATGCAGATATACTTTCCACTGTAAGAAAAAAAAACCAGAGGAATTACTTTTTTTTTAGGCCTAGGTATCATACTCATGAGGATTTTCAAATGCTTCACTGCATTTTTAAATGTATTATTGGGAATTATTAGCGAACGTGAAAAGCATACGAATACGAAAAGTATACTAATATCTTACCCTAAGTCGGCGTTCATCAAACTGTGCAGGTGAACTCCCCCACCCCCTCAGATTTGCGAAAGGATGGCGATGTCTCTGAGACTTAGGAGTGTTTATTATATGGAAACTGCCTCAATTCTCAACTAGACCACAGCGGTAAATTTAGATTCATACCAACTGGGAAACAGCTTATCTAATAGACCGGATTCCAGACTGGTCTCCAGCTGGAATTTCTCCATCCTCCCACTGCCAATGATGTCATGACCTGTTTTCTATCCGAGTTCAGATATGAAATAAGCTGGATTAGACTCAGGTCTATTCCAGCTGGAGGATACAAGGAGGTTTTTAATTGGTTCCGAGTTGCTTTTAAGTTTCTAACTTGGCACTGCAGATGCGACCCGTACTGAAAAATAAGTAGGAAATAGTAGATTTGGAAAGGAAGGAAATGACTGGTGTCCCTTAACATGCCCACTCTGTAAAAACTTGAATTCCAGAGTTTGAAATTGTGCGTATTATTTTCCAAATATTTTTTCCCCGTTGAGTAGGATAAAATGAAATAAAATGAAAGAAGGTGAAGCGGTAAGCGCTTTCGGACTTGTATTCTGTACATGGTCCCTATTGTGCATACATTTCTTGTGAACTTCTTGTGTACGCTGGAAAATAAAATAGATTGCTTAAACTTATCAAGCGCCACTAATACTAGGAGAGCATTCTGGGAGAACATTTCAGAATGATCACGTTCGAATCGACATTCAATGGGAAATCAGACAGCTTCTCAAGCTCCATGGCAAGCTATGTCTATCTTTAAAGAATGCGCAAGAATTCAGAAACCAGCGATTCCGACAAGACAGCAGAAGCAGAAGAAGCCGGAGTCCACGCCTTGTCTTCCTCGAACAGGAAATCGTATTCCAACCCGGAATGGAGGCGAGGAAGGATCGAGCCGATTTCGATGCCATCTCACAAGATTATTCCATATGATCCATAGAGATGCCATCATGAAGAAGGTACCTGGCAGGAGATGGCCTCCCAATGACCCCATCTTTTTTTCACTGGTTATGCTAATGGAGAAAAATGTGTTTTTACTGAACTGCACAGTCATTAAAGACAACTGTAATCTGCTAAAAGCCCAATAATGAAAACGATCACATGCATCGTGCCTTTCACGACAATAATTTACACTCCTTGGTTCTATCATAGCAATGGCTACATTATTACTGTCAGGATTCGTTAAAGTTGCATATAATACGTCTCAAAGTTTACTCTGGGTTGAAAGAGATTGACTCTTTTTGGCCAACTCTAGAATTCTGGTATATCTAGTAAATATACAGTAGTATACTATACGACCGTAGTTAGAGCGTTGCCTTTTTTTCCTAATATGCGTTTTTCTTGATTACTAAATGGGCTGGGCTTTTCATTGCCTCTATTTGCAAGGATAAATGACTAATTTTTAAAAACTATTTATATTTCTTTGCTTCCAGCAAAAGACTACATATTAGTGTATTTGGTACCTCCACTAGTAGAAGGGACTAGGAAAAAGGCTGAGATTTTTTCAAATTCATCACAAATAAAATTGAAGGAATTTTTCAGGGATCTAAATGGATCACATTATGGAGTATTTCTCCCTGCCAGGTTCAAGGAGAGAGTTCATCTCAAAATGTTGAAACTTTCATGAATTGAAATTTTCCAAAGTATTCTTCCCTGTGTACAATTCGACAGGTCAGCTTTCAGTAGGCAACAGGTCAGCTTCCAATAATTAATAAGGAGGCTTTCAATAAGTAATGCACAAAAATGTATCTGTCAATTGTATGAGATACCAGATAGTATGTCTTACTATCTGGATTCGGCATGAAATTAAATATCGTCCAATTATGATTATCCTAACGATGGTAAGAGACAGACACATCCTATTGAAATGACTCCGAATTTTGCCATTTTGATCATAATATTTCATGTAACTTCATAATTATGAGACAAATATTAAATTTAAATTTTCAATGAATGGATCAACATGGGTTACTGTGAAAAATCTGGGTTAGTGTCCGAGTCTATTCCTTGAACCACTGTCCCCTTGTACCATTAGCTATCATTTTGGAACATCCTCCGGCTGGGGAATCAAAATTTGGACAAAAAAAGACAATGAAATTCAGGAGTTGGAACTAAGGTGGTTGGAATAAATATACGCTCTCAATTGAGACATGCGAATAATAAAAGGTATACTTTGTCTGGATCATTCATACCAACATACAAGATTTATTTGAAGCCCAGAAATTCGCAATTTCACAGACTGCTTCCACCCAGGCTGCACGATCGCAACCTAACCTGATGCAGGTGTTAAGGGTGACATGAAGATTCTGCCAGTTGACTTGCATGCAGTTTAATCCAGCTGAAGGCAGTAAAAATATCAAATATCCCCCGTACCCCAGCCTTCCTTTTTCAGAGGGAATTAAAAGTCCATCGTTGCAGCAAGTTAACATATTTTGTATCTCAAAGTTATGTGAATCCCGAGAGAGGCATTTTCAAGACTTGGACATCGCAGTCAAGTCGCATTTCTGTTCTCAGGGAAGTATTTGTTTAAACCAAGTTGAAACGTTCTCAGCAAATAGAACTAAATTCTTTCTCCTTCATTTCAATGTATATTTCCATTCTTAAAGATTTGTATCTTCTCCGCCTCCTCTTCTTGCGATAACAGCATCAGCTTCTCCTGAAATAGGAATGCAGATGTTCATTAGAACTGAGAGTCTAAATACTGCAATCTCGCTTAACCAGTAACTCTCGGATACAGAAAAAAAAATGTTAAGACGAAATTAATCAATATTGAAGCATGTTTCTTAGAATGGAGATATCTCGCAGCCTAAATGCCGTTCTTCTCCCATAGACAGAAGGCTGTTGTTTCTAAGATGTGGAAGCGAGATGATAACCTTGGGCCAACGTTTTAGGAAAGCTAGTGGCAATGTTGGACGTACGTGACCTGTTCATATCGAATCATCATTGATAATTACTGGGGAGTAGGCACGGGATTTTGCCAAGATGCAGAATAAACAAAATAGTTCATTCCACATCGTACGCTCATTACAGAAAATAACAGCAGATGCTTGGCTTTTTCTTCAGGCAATAATATATCACTTTTGGCAATCGCCTTGGATTTACTGTTGGCTGCTCATTTAGACAATAGTCACATATTTCTTTTATACAACCAGTTTCTGAAAGTAAATACATGAGTTGGATTATGGTGTCCTGAGAGCTGACCATGAAATTAGATTACAATTATCTTTAAAAGAAGCTGTCGGCCCTAATTCAGAAGTTCCACCGGTACTTGAGCATTTAGTCTTCTTTCTAACTAAAATAATTATGCATCAATGGCAATAATTTTCAATACCTTGGACGTGATAGTTGGGGGAGATACCTTTTACCCTTTTTATACCTAACTATTTTCTGGCAATTTTCAAGATTGCTTACGCATAAAATATTAATAACTTTTCCGAATAGATAATTCATCCTCTCCTTTAAACTTTTTCATGAAAATATTTATTGTAACAAATAACTCATGAATGAGTTCATTGGAAAGAAATGCTTAAAATAATTTAAACCCCTTTTCATTTTCCTTCCCGTTTAGGAACGGAATGAGCGAAAAGGTAAAAAAAAAGGCCCAGGCGGAGGTCTCGAGAGCATTGGTTTTATTTTCTCCCGATACTTTGGAAGCTTCGTCGATTTATTACTGGTAAAGTGGCCGAAAAACTCGTCTTTTAATTCAGGAATAAAATTTAGATTAATTTTTAAACATATATTGAAAAATTCAAGCATTTTCGAGGATATTACAGGCGGAAGACGTGAGAAACCACGCCTCGTTCCCTAACGTGCTGATAAAGAAACAATGGTGTGCGCCAAAGGAAAAGTAAAGGATTAATGGGAGGAGTAAATTGCTCCAGGGTACTTCCCCTGCTCGTCAGTCTTGTTCGTGTATACCCAACTCCCCTCCCCCTCTCTGCTATTAACGAAAGGACACAAAAAAACTTACGAAACTGTAACTCTAGGTGAACTAATATCGCAGAATTTACAGTGCATCAACTTGATGCAGAAAAGCTACTACAAAGTTATCTCACACCTAATGTATCTCTAAAGCAAAAGTTGAGGTATACGAAACGCTTCAAATGAATGTATTATTAATAAATCCAGTAGATGCAGTAAAAATCTTTACTTAATGACGCCCTCACTGGTCACAGCTTAAATCGAGGCAGATTGGACCAAAAGACCCAGTATAATTCGCCGTACAGGAACTGGGCCTGGAATAGAGGACCAGCAATAGATTCAGTCTCCTCTTGCCTTGGCCTATATGCCATCTTGATGGGGCAACAATGAATGCATAACCCTGATGGATATGACTCGTTCCTTTCCTTGGACGCTGCAATGCGTCAGACGGAAGCCAGAGAGCGTCCAAACGATGTATTTCTTCTTTCATCATCCGGTTGAACCAGATTGGTTATAAATACCTTAAGGCATTTACTCTAAACTGTACTCCCTATGATAAAAATGTGTGACACATGTCAAGGTCTGTAAATGCAAGGTGGGAATCAAAATTCCACTCCGAGTACTGGAGTACTCTTTGAGGTAGCTCTAGTATTTCTGGAGTACCAAAGCAGACTAAGAATGGGTGCCAAGTCAGGGGCGGCATCTTAGCAATCTTAGACGGTAATTTACGTATTAAAATGAAATTGAATTAAGCTCATTAAAATGTCCATTATTAGCATTTACAATTTTAGCTGAATGGAGGGGAGCTAGCTGACAGGTTAAATCTTTCATATGTTCAACTCTCATAGTTAACAGTTTGCAGAACGTGCTTCGAGCAAGGCATTCTATATTTACATTATATCGTCCTGGTGCGTCATGAAAGGGCTCTTGCGAGAAAAACCCATATGTTGGAAAATGTATAAAATATTTTCTAGCGAAGACAATGCGTAGATCCTTGAACATGCATAATAAAAGTAATGAATGATTTTCTGATATAAAAAATCAAACAATGGCACCTTTTTCAGCATCCGATATCATATTCGATTAAGCTTTATGGGGAATATCCTATTAATATTAATTTAATATTAATTTCCTATAAGGAAATTAACCATATCAATAATCCATTCCTCTCGGTGACCTTTGGTAATCTAAAAACCTTAAATAGTTCATTTAATGGTCCTCAGGAGAATGTAGTTTTAGTTTTAGCCTTTGACCTACTTAACCAAACTGAAATCTCGTGTGACCGAGTCAAAGGGAGCCATTGTACTATGCGCAATAAAAGGTGTGCAATGGTGCCAAAGTGAAGACTAGTTACAGAATGAGGTGCCACTTTCCTAATACGTTGTAGGATGTTTTGACGAGATTATTTCTGTCCACTAGAGTCTTATTCGTCTGGAATAATTTCTTTCGAATATTCAGTCAGAAAAATTATTCTCAGTGAATGCACTTGAAAGTATTTTCTATTGGAAATCTATACTTTAAAATACTTTAACACAAACTGGAACGAAACTCTGTTAACATGTGCTTAACAGTGGTAACGCTTCGTTAGCATATTGTACTAGCGAGTTTGTTTGCAAACTCACACTCGCTGCACAAACTCGCCATGGTCGCGCCTTCGGCGCTCCATTACCTTGGATAGTGATTAATTCATTAATTTTTTGCGAAATGGGAAACACGTATTTAAAGTACATCCCCATTGAAATACGTGACATATGGGGTCGAAAGTCTTGACTTTTATCAAACTCCTTACTTCTATGATTCCATGTGTGCTAACTGTAAATCTTTTCTTGTGTCCCTTTTAGTAAGGGTGGAGAATACATTTTGAAATTCTTTCCTCCAATAATCTACGCTAAGGAGACATATTTCAAAAGCAGGATTTTTCCTGTACTCAGTCATTAAATAGGTACTTCTGAGGGAAATTTAAATTTTCTATCTCTGTTTCGTTGGATCAAAAAAATTCATGAAAATGAGACAAAAAAAGGGCCCTGATGGGTTTTAGCAAAGAAATTGTTTCTTCTGAAATGAAGACTCAGGGAACTCCATGCCACCCAGTTTCAGCCTCATACGTTTCCCCTTTTTGAATTAGCGTCAGTCAGTCACGATCGTCTATATATATATTAGAAAAGTATAATTTTTTCTTCACTCAGTTATCCATGAGGTACCTGTCTGGCAAGTTTTTTTAACTTTCATGCGCCCTCTGTTTTGCTGGATCAGAAAATTCGCGAAAATACGACTTTAGTAAAATATGTGCCCTGAGCCGTTTTAACCGAAACGTACCATATTTTTCTTACCGAAATCCATCCTCAGTGAACTACATGCCCACAACCTTTCTATATTATACGTTTGCCCTTTTCACTGGTGAAAAAACATGTTTCGAAAAGCCGACCCACCCTAACGCTATGTCCGGAGGGGATGCACCATGAAAGATGAATACTCCCCCAGCTCAGTAATATCACGTGACTTATACGTGTGCCAAGTTTCACCTTTCCATTTCTGTCTAATTCGCCACGACAATTTATTTTTCCAAACATCGCACCTTGAAAAAATTCCCCCAGGGTATGTATCGAGACTCAACATTTTCCTTCAACTCCTCGTCTCAGTAGTCACATTCATGCAAAGTTTCAGCTTTCCATGTTCATCAGTTTAACTGATGCAAAATATCTCCCTTTGAAATTTGTGCCCCCAGGGCATTTACTTCCAAAGTCTGAATTTTTCTGGAGCATCACAATAGGTAGTTATGTACCAAGTTTCATCATTCCACACTAGCTCAATACGGCAGGACAAAAAAAAATACTTGAAAACGTCGGCTCACAAAAATATGCCCCGAGGGCATGGATCTAAAATGTTGCATTCTTCCTGAACTCATCGTCTCGGTAGGCACGTCCATGCCAGGTTTCAGCTTTCCATGTCTCTCCGTTTTACTTAAGTAAAAATAATATTATGGAGGGGGAATGATTAAAGGGACATAGAAGGCAAAAAACGCCAAAAGAAGGCCTCGGAATGGCTAGGAATTGAACCCGGACCTTCTGATTACCTGCTGATTAGATATGCTACTACTACACCACCGTACCCAGCACATCCAATAGACTCTCTGAATGCCACCCTCATTTGTCACAAAATATATTTAAGAAAAATGTTTTCCCCAAAAATGTGTACCCCCAGTGCATGTACCTCCAAAGTCCGATTTTTTCTGAACTCTGCATCCCAAGAAGTACATGTGTACCAAGTTTCAGATTTCTAACCCTTCTAGAACATGGTTAGAATTAGCGTCAGTCAGTCAGTCACGATCGTCTATATATATTAGATTTAGACCTCTCACTCTTCGAAGCATGTCATTTGGGTTGTGGAATTGGTGGGCATTGCTTGTTCAATCCAAGAGGGGACCATTTCATACTCCCAAGAATCAGCAAATTCTAGGTCATGTTAGACCTTTCTTCCTCTCATTCCGCTTCATGAAAATAGATTTTACATTAAATGCTGGGTATCGACAAATTTGGCCTAAGGAAAAAAAATCACCGTGTACTACGCAAAGGATTGCGTTGAATTATAATGACGACCACCTGGAAAAAAGTGGGTGCATAATAATAGTGTTTTTCACAAGCAACTGTTAATTAGAGACTTAACCAGTCTTATCCAGGGAGATAAGTTATTCAGAAAAACGCGATTATTGCTAGTGATTAAAGGCAACAAAAACACTTCAAAACATATCGCAGGTATCGGAAGACCATTTTGAACTGAAGCTCATGTACAGTTTAGCAGCAAAGCCATAGCAATTGCAGAAAATGCGAAATAGCTATTAAGAATCAGTGGACAGTTATCTTTGGAAACACCCTGTTGTATTGCCCGAAGCATAGGTAACTTTAATCTTTCATGTCAAGAAGTACAATTGTTAGTTTTTTGGGCGATTGTCCATACCGACAGAGAGACAAGAGTCGATAGCCCATCATCATTGACACCCTTCAAGTTTATATTGAGGCTAATCTAACACGGAAGTCCGTGTTTATGAACCACCAAGTTGCAACATTCTTTCTAGGAGTCAATAAGAAAGTGTAGAATAGCAATTCATTCGATCTGAAACCCTCTTCTTTCACGACTTTAGCAGCCTCGAGGAATGACACTAACCCGTCCCTCTGCATGTTTGATCTTATGGAGAAAAAAGTGTTTCTGACAAGATTTCCACCGATTCAAGAAGGAAAGCAGCAACCACCAGGATCAGCAGCATGATGCCGACTGCCGTAAACACTAAGTCTGCTTAAAGGACAGCGAAGCCCCTATCCTACCCTAGTGAGTACTGATTTTGTGACTACAGACCACCATGAAAGGTTTATACCGTGAGTCACGTAGACAACCAAGGGATCCCTAATTATCGTCACATGCATTCGCTTTCCCACGCTTTAATAACAGGTTGATACGTGCTTCTTCATTATCCTACTCAGTCATGGCCAATGATAAAATGCTGAATCGTATGAGGCTTGGCAATTACTCTCTATAGACTGCAGATGACTTTTCTCCGTCCTTCTAACCCTTTCATGCATGGTGTCCACTATAGCGGGTGGCAAAATTGTTGGCGATGTTGATGGTTTTTTAGCCATGGTACACATACCTCGAATCTTTTGCTGTATGCAGTCAACTGAAAGGCACATCATCTTTTCAGTGTTGTTTTCTAGCGTGAAACATATGGCTACTACGGCAGAGTACCTCCTTAAAAGTTAAACCTGGAAAGGCAAGTTTTTATTTTGCTCGAAAAATTCATACGTGAAATCGCTGAAATAAGTCAAATATTGTCAAATCTCTGTAAACGTCGACTAGTCAAGTTTGAACCAATATCTCATAGATTAGTAGAATGTTTGAGGTCGTCCATGGAAATTGTTTCTTTGCAATTCAAGGCCCAACCAGACAATATGCGCTACACCTTTTATTAATATATATATATATATTTTAGTATACTTTTTCCTCACAAGTTTATAAATGATATTTTTTCGCATTTCGCATTAATAGAATTAAGTGGAATTCTCTGGAAGTCTCGCTTCCACGTATTTCAATGTCCAACTCTGAGGAAATCGAGCGAAAGAAAGTAGACGCATAAATCCTTCGTTTCATCTTCATCTGTTCCCGATGAAAAAAAATTAATTACAGGCACGTTTCACTCCCCAATTGAAGTTTTGACATTTTTATTTTTTTGAAATTGTTGTTTCTACAGAAAAGGAGAGTCGAACACTTCCCAGTGACGATAATGAATCTACGATAATTGCTTATTCACAACCACCAAGAATACACCCATTATTTTTATGGATATATTCTGGGTGATGTTCAAGTTCTCATTCGCTCCAATTATGCCAATATTTGATGAGCCATATTTTGCCAAATTGACAGGCCATTAGTGCCATTATATGGGCCCCTGAAGAGAAGCATTGCCATGATGAAAGCTAATCAAGGACGTCGAACGGTGGATAATTGCCATTCCGTGTGGAAGCACATTCGTCAGTGAATACTGCCGCCGTTCGTTGAGCATGTGGGACTTTCGGTGCATGAGCATCCCGCAGTTATTTGCATTCAATTAGAGAGGGCGTTTCGTGTTCCTGGAAGTTAGTGCCGGTTTTACGGTCCCAGTTATTTTTAGTCAATTTTAAGTTGGTTAGATTTTTAGTTTGCCAATTCTTTGGATTTTTGCATATGTTTCATTCAGCGATGAGTTTTTTTTTTTAAATGAAATTGAAAAAAAAACTGCGTACTGCGGAATCAAAATAATTTATTCACAGAACCGAAAAAGTGTATTGGATTCGAACATGGAATGAGAAAGGTACAGAAGCAATCACATTATTTTTAGCAATGATGATGATGGTTTTCGCTTCCGAGTGAAGAAGAGTGAGACGATTGGAATTTGCAAGAAGCGAGGAAACATATGCATGAGATCGTTCTGAGCTCGAAAAAGACTTGAACCTGTTCCTCGCCTCTGGTGAGCGTCTTTAGAATTTCATTCTCGTTAGGTTCTAAACGTAATATGTATTCCAAATACGGTAATTCACCACTCAGATGAGGATCGACGCACTCGACAGCTTTTTACAGAGCCTCCAGTCGAAGTATGGTTTTGGTTTAGAACTAATTAAGATTATTTTGGTCTAATTGAGTAGAGGCGAGGATCGAGGCCCTTGATCTTTTTTCAAGTCAAGGTGCATCATATTTCAGCTTTCTGAGGCTTCTTTCAGAGAAACTTCACTAAAAGTAGCTTACTGAAAACGTCATGCGCTACGAATCTTGAATGAATGCAGTTGAGATTGACGAGTCATTCAATATTTAACAAGCGGTGAGGGTACACATTGTAGGCGGCTCCGACGTTATTTAACGTTAATGATAATCACGAAGAGATCGCCAGCGTGTTCGAGGTTCATAATGACTCCGTTGACTCCTTAAATATACAATTACTTTATTGTGACAACCAGCTTGGAAAGAGGTCAATAACAATGAGAACCAGGAAATGGATATAGGGCAAAAATTCAAAATTCTGCTCCCCTAAACGCTTATTAGACCATAAATACTCAATGAGCAATACCTGAATATAAATCCGTGTGGTATCGGTGGGGTGACAGACAGCATAAGATCTCCAGCACTGACGTCAAGGGTCCACTCAATATCCCGCGTCTTCTCTCAGGTTTCTCCTCACTATCCTAAAATTTGACTCCCTTGTCCGACTCACTCACTTGACATACCTGACTCGACCCCCCAGAGACTCTCCCGCGCGGCCCTTTTATTCCGTTATGCCGGACATGCGCATTATCTTTTACTGTGATTTCATCATCTTTATAAAAGTACCTCCTACAACATATTGCAAGGAAAACCAAGGCAAAAAAGAGGCAGGTGTCCAGGCAGACATTCTTGCTCTCGTGCAAATGGAGTGCAGAACTATCGAACAGCTGGGCCGACCTCAGTCTGGGAGTTCACTCTAGACGGATGTAAGTAAAGCTGGCCAAAAATTCGACTTGGGGAAAGAGGCAAAAGAAATGGTGAATCACGTATATATTGACCTACTTGATATTCAGTAGCCGAAACATCCGAGATCCATGAAAAGGAGTGGTTGGACCTCGAAATGATAGACCAGTTCCTGAAGTTATCAAGAATGCACTTTCTTTAATCGGTAGACTCTAAACAAAATGAATGGAGGTTTCTCAGATGAAGAAAGGCGCTGATTACAAGGGTCATTATTTCAATGGTCTCCATGATGCTAGATAGAGAACTCCAATAATTCCTTTACTTCTAAGGCCGATTTCGACCATTTCCTGTCCCGACATCACTTTCACCTAAGTTTAGTAGTACTGGCAAACGAAGGGGAGCTCGATGGAGCAAGGGATGTCGAACCAGTACTCCGCCAAAAGACTGAGGCAATTCTTGTCTCGTCCGCCGTTTGGGGCTTTCTGCAGACCCACTGGGAGGCTGTCGTTCGTTCCCCACCAATTGTAGGATGCTATCGGCGTGTTGTTTACTTGACTGAAACCTGTGAGAAGCGAATGGGAGAAACGGCAGTAGGGAATGAATAATAACTGGCAAAGTTCGGCATGAAAGTTTCAACACCCTCGAAGAAAACACCGTTTCACTGGAAAAAAAAGCACTTAACGCAGGAAAGAAACACTTAACGCCTGGTAGACAGGAATACCTTTTTCATCTGCATCTGCTTAAATGGAAATTTAATAATGTTAAAAAGAACTAATAAAGAAACCATTCTGCATTGATCGAAATATATAATTAATCACAAACCATTCAAGACACCTGTCGGGATGATAAACATGATCTAAGTTTCCAAATCCAGTCTCAATATTACTTTATCTCAGGATATGAAAATCATCAAGTCTAAAATATGAAAAATGTCAAGTATTTTTCTTCATATGAATTAACTTGCGCTCGAAATTTCGAATATATGGAAGACATGACTCAAGAGAAAACTCGAAACGTGTTTTCAGCTCATATTTTTTTACCCATAAGCTTCACCACTGCTAATTTATATACTTCAGGATTCGTGCAATCCAATATTTCAGTTAAACCATTGCGAAAAAATAACCAGAAATATATACCAACTTGAGTCCTCGTAGATCCACGTGCCTTCCACGACCTCATCAGTGGCACCTTGGACAATTGCTTCGGTGGTGTCCGGGGCGACCATTCGGATCGAACCATAGGTGATGCCACTCGTGTCGGAAGCAAGTATTGCCCCATCCTGGCAACAAACACGACTGGCCTCTGTTCTATTCATGGGTCCTGGGTAACGTTTGTACATCCGACCGTCTTCTGTCGAGAGCTCGTAGCCTTGTGCTAGAGAAAACCGATTCGAAATGCATATCGAGAATCACTTCTCTGCATTTTAATTTGATTCTCCAAAATTGACTCACTGTTTGCTGAGCAAGGAGGAGTGACGTTGACATTCAGGAGTTGCCAAGTATTTGGTCCGACACATTTGGCTTTGAGGGGTACAAGAGGCGGGCACCGGGAAAATAATGGGCAATCGTATGAGACTTCTGATAGGAAAGGTGCAGGCAGGCTGCCATTCCATCTATCGGAGAAATTCATGGTTCGATTCTCAAAAGCAGGTGGACTCGTATTACACATGCTGGAAGCTATAAACAAGGCGAAAATCTCTAATCTCTCTTGAAAAGCTGGTCATGGAAAAATTATGGAATGATTTTAAACAGTATACAACATACCATTGACGTAGGCTATTGCTCCAGGTGCATTTTCCAAGAAGGCATTGACCGTGTTCACCATCTCGCATGTTAGATTTCCAGGGTACCAGTTGAAGCTGTTGCAAGCGGGACAAAGTGAGTGGCAAATGGAACCACAATCCACCAAACCTCTCGCCTTCACGACATCCCTCCCAGTTCCGGCCAGGGGCCAAAACTTCCAGTCTTGTTTCAGCAGGTGGAAAGTGGTCCATATGCCCGCTATTAACAGATTTGCATTTCAAGTTCAAATAGTCTCGCAAAATAGTACAAACGAAACAAATCGAGAACCTGTGTTCAATATATAGTTCTCCTCAAAGTTTCCCCTCTCTACTACTTAGTTGGGTCTGGCTGCTTCGAATACTCAATAAGATCTCAATTCACCCCATCCGCATGAAACGACGTCTAGGTACGCATCATCCCATGTCTTTTTGCTTACCTATTTGCGCTCGCTTATGGCTCGGAAAGGCGTAAGCTAATTGGCCATTCGCGGTAGGTTTCGGTAGCAGAATTCTGGGTCAGATAGGCGAGCATCTCATTTAATTAGGATTGATTAACAGCCTGGGACATAAAATATCTTGTGTGGACAGTGATTAAATTTAAAATTTTAAAATAAAATGTGTCCCTATTAAAATTAATCTTTGTGGTCTCCGAGACTAAGTTTTAATGTCATATGCCATGGATTTGGTCAATACGCACTCTAAATAAGTTAATGCTGATGAAAGTTATATTTTCCAATTCCAATATGCATTATTATGCAATATTCGGTTATATTTTCTCTATTTGAATTTTCGCTCTTTGATGTTGACTAAATTGGAAATGTGGAATTCGCAAGTGTTATTATTCGTCTGAGAAACGAATTCCTTGCATTTCACTTTGAAACCGAAGCATCACTAAGCGAATTATTTAAAGTACCATTCAACGCACGAAAGTATTGCGCTCAAACAGAACGAAAAGAATTCGGAAAATATGTCCAAGAGATAATAATTTCCAAAATGAGGATATATTTACTTTTACACTAATTTTCACGGGGAGAATGCGAATAATTGGCCTACAGGGCCTTGACCAATGCAGGTATTGAGACAGGATTTGAAAACATTTGTATTTCCTTAATTTGCACCATTCAAATTGATATCGAGATAATTCCGGTACGAACTCCATGTCCGCGATGTGCTAGCCGATTGAACACGTTGCATCACTCCTTTTGCATTGCGTCAACAAAGAGGCAAGCAAGACTCCATGGAAACCTAGTCTTTCAGGGCAATCCAGGCCTCAGCAAAGACGCTGATTCGAACTTCCGCAAGTTTGGTCGCGCAGAAAGAATGACGAGTTTCTGACCTGATTCGTCCACGGACTCGAGGACGAAAGCCGCAAGCACCAGGAATCGCAGCATGATGACGACTGCACCGCCGCGCTGCTCCGTGAGACCTCCTCTACGACCTCCTCTACCAAGTGAATGACGATGATCGCGGAATTTTCATAGAATCAGTCTCGGGGCGGAGGATTGATGGATTCTCTCACGGAGGTCGCATGCATTCGCTCTCCCACAAGGTAATGACCGGCCGATGCGCAATTCTTTGTCCTCTTGGAGTCACTCGGCCGATGATAAAACGCTGGATCGAATGCGGATGGGCAATCACTCTCACTTACGACCGTTCGATGCCTTCCTTCCTTTCTTTGCGAATCCTTCTTCGATGGCGCCAAGTGACGTTTGAGTCAATTGGCCCGGTCGCACCAATTCGGCCACATGGGGTCCTTTTCTCACTCGATATTCATTCTCATCCCAGGCACATCCGGACGCACAATGCGCCATTTTCATTTTTCATCCACCCGCGCCTGTCGATGAGAATATTTTTCACCTTTTTCGCGCATGGAGAAAAGCATAATGGAGTCTCAAATCCTGCTTTCGTATATCTTAAAAAGCAAACACTGAGCGAGTCGAGATGAAGAAGGGATTCCCCGGGATTCCTCGCTTCATCTGAATCCGTCCTCAAGGATTACTGACAGGCCTTAGCGAATCCCCCAAGCACGAGCCATTCCACGGCACATTCAGCAGGAAATTCAGCCACATCTTGCTAATAACTTGCAGTCACTCGAGTGGAACAAACGCGATTATGATCTGTTCCAGAGATCGGATACAACGAGGCAATGTTACCTTGTTACTCTGTGACGAATTCTCGCGATTGGCAAGATCGGCTATAAGAAATCGCGTTTTTGAGAAGTGGGCGCAAAGGAAGAAGTGACGGAAACGACAAGGCGAAAATTTAAAGTCGCGGAAAAATTAGGAAACGTCCAAATTTGCTTATTTAAATGGTTTGAGAGGGCTGGATGCTGGACCTTTTTATTGATTGGGGCAAAAACCTTTGAGGCCTGTTTTTAAATTGTCTTCCCAATTAACGTGAGCATGGTCTCTCTTTTAATTTGTTATTATTTACGAACCTCCGTCGTTCAATGGCAAGAATGAGCTCGCCCGCCGGAAGGGCGAGGTCATTCTTTCCGAAAAGGAAAGACTTCAGCAGGCTTTCAAAAAAATTTTTTTTCGGAGGGGCCATCGTGGGACTTATCCCGATAGATGAGTGCAGAGCTTCCATAAAATCAAGGATTTATGTCATTACCCCCAATCGAGATGGCCATATTCCCCGTGTTAGCTTAGGTGGCTAAATTGACAGTTACGCCTGCAAACTGAAGGAGCAACCGTTTTACAAAATCATACGGGAGGGTCAATAGAATAACTTTTAATAGTTTGTTTCTTCATCTATGCTGTTACAGGGAAAAATACAGTTATTTTAAAGTTTATTTTGAAAGACGGGACATGCAGCGGACACAAACGGCAATGTATTTCGGTCCAAACGGAGGAATGGGGTGCCCGCCTGGCACAGACACGCAAAGGCAGTCCCTCAAGCTGGGGACATCCCTGACGGTCCTATAGGAGGCAGGGGCAGCTCGCGGACTGGCATTGCCCATGAATGCCACCAGC